TTTACATACACCTTACATCAGATGCATCTAAGGAAGCTGTGCCAAATCTACATCCATATGTACATGCATTCATCTTTCTGTTTGTTACAGCCTGCACCATGGAGTGTGGGACGATTTCACAGCTATCATCTCACTTTGAAACCCGGTTTGAGGTTTTAAAGACTGCTTTTAAACTAAATGTATGTGCTGGAAAGTATGGAGAAGAATTGGATGAAATGAAGACAAACCTGCAAGAAATAAAAAAGATCCTCAGGGAGCTTCAGAACACAGTGGATGGAGAGAAGCAAGATTTGCAACATGCCAAGGTAAATTAATGAATGTTGGGAACTTAACCAATATGGCCAACATGCACCTAATATGTTGCTCCATTCTTATTTTCAGTGGAAAGGCAACCAGTCTAGAGCAATAGTTTATTGGCACTTGTCTAGATGATTTGTGCCCTTGTTTTCATTCCTAAATACCCCTCAATGCTTCTCTTATATGCTGACATGCGTTATTCAGTGATTTGGGCTAATTGTCATGTTTTCATGCTGTTTTTGATACTAACTTGTTCCTGTTCAATGAATTCTTGTTTTTGGTGGGCAGAATCTTGATATTCCATCAACATGGTTCTCACCATGATTTTTACTTGGTAATTAATAGATGTCTTACAAATTCACAGCCTAACACCCTGCTCGATTTGAAATTTTGGGTTTTTTTAATTTAAGGCAATGACTCCACAACCTCCCGACCACTCCTGACCAACGTGCCCCAAGTATTCCCAACATGGTGCACATGGTAAAATGCGGTTCGGGGGCTGGCTGGGCTGATGCTCTGACCCACTGTGCCTCCATCCAGGCCCTGTGCAGTACTCTGTGCCACAGACGTCGATTCGGGCTTGGCCGGCCCCTTTGTTCTATAGTGCTCTGTGCCACATAAGGTGTAGCACCGGCTGACCCTGGCTTCAGCCGGGTGCTGTGTTCCGTGTGGCGTAGGTCTGCCCCAGCTGTCGGTGGCTGGTCGGTCTGCGCCCCCTGTGTAGCCTTTGTATTTATGTCGCTTGGTTCTCCACCCACACACAGGTGTTCGTATGTCGGGCCTTTCCATTGTCTCGTCGTGGATCCTTTCATTGTCATTTCTCAAATTTCTTTTCATCGTTAGAGGGCCCTCGCCAGTTCAAGTGGCTCTCTGACATTCGGAGTTCCGTCCTTGTCCCTAACAAATGTGCCCCTGGCGGATCCGAGGCCTGTTGCCAACACAGAATCCCTTGTTATATACCGTGTCCACGGGGCGTAACGCCGAGTGGCTATTGCGTCGGACTCCCACCCGGAGGCCCGGGCTCAAATCCCGGTTGCGCCATAGCCCCAGAGCGATAATATGACCAATGCAGTGGTTGGCGCTTCAAAAATGTGATGCGACAACGTGCGCCGCGTTCCCCCCCCCCCCCCAAAAAAAACAAACAAAAAACCCCAGTGTCCCCTGACCGACACAGGGCCCCCCATTTTTTCAGGGGGCTTGATCAATACAAGATACATTCAGTCGTAATCACGGGCCCCAACCACGTCCCTGCTGTGACAACGGGCCCCAGGTGGCGGACCGACAGGGGGCCGACGTCTCGGTGCAGTGGTCTCAGTGGTTCAGGCCGATGCATTGGTCCTGTTTATCCCGGGGCCAGTGACCGGAGCTCACGTCCTGAACGTTCAGTGCTTGTGCCGGGCCCATATGACTTATGCTGTCTGTGTGGAAAGAAGCAGTTCGTCATCATCATTCTGCCGGGGTCCGCCTGTGTGCCCATATGATTTGGCCTGGCTCCGTGTTCTGTGTGTCAAATGACTTGACCTGGTCCGTGTTCAGGCCCTAGCTCTGTCTGTGTGTCAGGTGACTTGGGCTGGCTCCGAATTCTGTGCGTCAGATGGTCTGGTCTAGCCCTGTGTTATAAGCGTCAGATGGTCTGGTCTGGCTCTGTGCTCTGTGCATCAGATGATTTTTTGCCGGGCTCTGTGTTCTTGCTCTAGCTCTTTGTCTGTGTGTCACATGACTTGGCATGGCCCTGTGTTCTGACTAGCTCTGTGTCTGTGTGCCAAATGACTTGGCCTGGCTCCGTGCCCTGGCTTCAGCTCTGCATCTTTGTGTCAGGTGCCTGGGCCGGGGCCGGGTGTTCTGCGCGTCAGACGGTCTTGGCCAGCCGTGACGTGTCTGACCTGACCGCGTGTTGTGCGCGGCAGGAGGCGCTGGCGTCACTGCAGAGGGAGCGTGGCCGCGTGGAGCACCTGCTGGCTCACGTGCCGGACCGGCTGCCATCCAGCGTGCCGCCTCCGGCCCCCCAGCCGCCGACTGACAGGCCAGGTACGACTGGCCAGTCGTGCGGACGCGCGGACGTCAGCTAGCGCAGTCATGCCTGCTGACAATATGGGGCCGTGGCGGTCATGCCAGCTGACATCAGGCCATGTCGGTCAAGATGTGCTTCATGCACATTGTTATTAGTGTTGGAAGACACAGTCTTACGCTGTTTACACCAAGATGCTCGTCAAGCCAATTTAGCCATTTAAACCAAAAGTTTTGTCGCGGATTCGAATTTAAGCGCCAGGATCTTGGAAGGACCGGGTCTGAGGAAAACAATCGAAAACATTTTCTTTCGAACTACGCGGCTGCGAAGCGTGACTTCTCAGCGCTAAGAAATATGAAAGAACCGACGCTGTGTGTTAGACGTCAATGTCATTGCTAAAACACTCCCATGCTGGCAATGGCAATAGCACTACCTTTTCCGTAGGGCCAATGGTAAGCTAAATTTTAACAGCATTGTTTCGCGTGAAGAGAAACCCACTGTTAGATGTAAAGATGTTAAAAGCTCAAGATAACATTCCGCAGCGTTCCTCGTGTGTAACATACACATGATTTTTTGGTGGGCCCAATCATTTCAAAGACGGAAGTTTTTCTTTATTGCATACTACTGGGAAAAGATAGCGAAAATTCTTTACCCAGTTGCACTCTCTTTCAATAACTTGATTTACTGTACAAACTAATTACTAACAGTATAACAAGTAACAGACTAGTTGCAACCAGTATAACGCATGACCCGTTCGCGACAGCTGGATCAGAAAATACAGTATTGTTCATAAACGGGGCAGCGCGACGCGTGCGATGGCGCTTCAGTGATGTAAAGGCATCGGAGCGGCGCGGATGTCTTGCTGTTGGCTGGATGTCAGTCCATCTCAAATCTCCTTCGGGCCATGATGTCAGGAGCAGTGTTCCGTCAATACAGGACGCTGAAGGCAGTTGCGGTCTGGATGGTGATGCTCCACATTTGAAGATATTGAAGCAAGCATCAGATATGATGGAATAATCTCACCTGTAGCTATTGGCTTGCAATTAACCGAAGACTGTTCTAGACAACGAAATTACACCACTTAGTGACTATTTCCCCTAATACGTCGTCGTTTGATGACGTCATGGAACGTCTTTGCGACGTCAGGGTCACTGCCAAACCGGCCGTATCCGAAGTGCCATTGTAACGGACGGGCCGACTCACTTGCAGTACTTCAACTTGCCGAGAGGTGGACGTGTTTGCTGGTGTCTGCCGAACCCTATTATCGCTACGTTCGCGTGGCTTTTCCTTTCTCGTGGTGCTCTTGTGTATTTGTCCGTGATTTTACTTTTTTACTTGCATTCACGTACCCGGTCATGTGTTATTCTTCACTTATCCGATTCCGAGGCTGATTGCCGTCATAAGTACTGCAAATCCCCACATTCTTGTATCATGTAAGACAAAACTTCAGTTGTGCTCGAAACTTATATTCAAGCCATACAATTGGTTGAATGCCATCTGATGTCCGTCGATGCCACGAATCGTGCTGACGTACACCGCATATGAATAATTCGATGCTCGTATTTATATTGCCTTTGAGAACTACATGGCCATTGAGACAGAGGTATTTGCGCGACTTTTTGTGGTGTCATGCACGCCTGGGTGACCTTGAAATAATCTGCGCGAAAAAGTCAAGTTCGCGGCGTCGAGCTCGGAAACAATAGGGGTACGTACCCTTTACCCCTTAATACCCTACCCTAATACCCTTTAAACGAGCATGGCTATGAAAACCCCACACAAATGTGGAAGGATATGTGAATGTGAATGTGCCCTTTAAGGAGAGCAGTTTCACGTGCCTGTAGTCCAAAGCATACCAGAGCTTCATTCGCACCCCGCAGGGATTAGTTGTGCCGATGTTTTGTGCCCCGGATTAGACCGTTAGAACAAGGTGCTGACGACGTCACGCTACAAGCTATTAATTTGTTCAGTGTGTGTGTGTGTGTGTGTGTGTGTGTGTGTGTGTGTGTGTGTGCGTGTGCGTGTGCGTGTGCGTGTGCGTGTGCGTGTGCGTGTGCGTGTGCGTGTGCGTGTGCGTGTGCGTGTGTGTGTGTGTGTGTGTGTGTGTGTGTGTGTGTGTGATTGGGGCTTTACGACGCACTCAGCTGTTGAGGCTATATGGCGTCGACTGCCTCTCACCCTGGCAGGAAGGGCGGGCACCGCGGGGAATCGAACCCCGTACCTCTGGTTTCCCAGACGCGCAGTGGTTAACGCAGACGTGTTAACCACTGCACTACCGGCACCCCCTATTAATTTATTCAATTACCCATTCACTTATCATTGACTATTCATACTATGTTCTGTGCCGGCCACGCTCCTCGCTCCAGTCCAAGGAGCATAAACTGGCTCGCTTTTTGATTTGTAGATATCCAGGTCCGTTTTGACCGGCTGAACGCTTAAAACGGGCTAGAATGTGTCGGTGAGAGTGCGTGGTAGGGTGGGCTCAGCCTCGTGACGCTCAACACCCTTTATGCCGAGGCTCGCATCGCTACAGTGGACGTAACACATTGTGTCGCTAAGGGCGACAGCGGTTGCACGCCTAGTAAAGCCGTCCGGACCGCTGCTGGCCGCCTGTGCCGTCCGTCGGCTTTTAACCTTTCCAGCCGCCGTCGGTCGGCAACTCTGCGTCACTAACGGCCGTCCGCCGGCAGCCGGCGAGCTTCGGCCGGCGGCCGCCGCTCGCGTGTCGGCGCCACCGTCGGTCGCCTGCCTGACGGTGTCCGAGTTCGCGGCCGTGCCGCAGTACATGCGCGGCCGCGGCAGTCGCGACCAGGCCAACCGGCTGCTGGACGAGGTCAACGCCGTGTTGGCGGCGCGGTACGCCCTGTTGCGACGGCCGCGCGCCTCGCTCCAGCCCAAGGAGAAGAAGCTCTGGCTCGAGTGCAAGCGCGAGGAGACGGCCGAGACCAAAGGTGAGACGCGCGACCGAGCGGTGGCGAGTCGCGACTCTGCCGGCGCTGGGCGCGTTGGTGGGAGGTCAACGGGATGCCGGGCGTGGGGAAATCACGTGCCGTAGTGGGCTGCTTGTAGCAGGTGGTAAAGAAGTCCAGAAGCGGGCGCGATCGCCGCGAGACAATATTGGCTAGCGACACCCGTTTACTGACCATTGCAGTGGTCACCTTCGATGTTCGACAGGATCCCAACGTCTTGCGTTGGGATCGTGTCGAATATTGCGCGTGCCGATCTGTCTGTATGGCGCGTGCCGATCACGTGTGCCCCGTCGTCTGCTGCAGGAAAGCAGTTCTTCACGGAGGACGACTTCAAGCGCTTCAACAAGACGAGCCTGAGCAAGGGCACACGCCAGCTGCTGGTGGTGCTGCGCCATGTGGGCCGCATCAAGACGGTGCGCGGCGCCGGCACACTGGTGCGTCACGTACTCTGCTGAGGTCGGAGAGCGGGCGGGGTTCACCGCTCGCCCCGGCCGGCCGTGCCCGGCGCGAAGTGCGCGCGCGAGGTCGATGTTGGCAGAGTCGTCGGCGCTGGGGAGGTCGCGCCCGTGTGGGCTCCCGGGGCGGGTGAGAGGGCCGATGTGGCGGTGATGTGTGCGCCTGACGGCTGGCGATTTCTGGCGCGACCGCGCCGCCTCGTCTTCTGTCGCTGCATCGGATGATCGTACTGCAGTCTCGCCAATACAAGGTCTCGCTCTCGGGATGAGCCTGAGCTGTGAGCGGCCGCCGGACGGTCGCGCGACAGCCGCCGTGAGACCGAGCGACCGCCGCCCGCCCGTTACCTCAGCCACGGGCCGGCGGACTGGCCGTGGGCCGCCCGCGTGGCGAGGTGTGTGATCGGCGGCCCGATGACGAGGGGTGCCGCCCACCCGCCTCCCAGCCGTGCTCGCTCTGCGTTTGGCCAGCGCTGCTCCCCCCCGCCCTTCAATCGGATTCTGTATTCACCCCTGCCGCCGAGCAGCTGTGCGGTACGGGTTGTCCAGGTCTTGTTAAGTCGCAATTCAGAGCTTGTCATTTGGTTTTCGGGATCGTACAGGGGGGGGGGGGGGGGGGGGAGACGGTCCGCGCGCAATAAGTGTGCTTGCATATCGCACACGGTACATATCACCGGCGAACGTTCTAGCTACAAGACCACCGAAAAGACGGCACACTTGGCATATCGTTTATAAAAAACGTTCCACGGCCAGATTTACAAATATTGCGGAAACATTCGGTCTGAGGCCGGCCACCACGACTAAACACGCCAGCATCCGCACACATACACGCATATTACAGTCCTACCGAACACCGAGCTAACTCAGGGTGACAGACGACTTAGAACCAAGCCCGACAAGCCGACCGCCACGCTCGAAACCTGGGCGGGAAGGCTCGCTGATCCGCCTGAGGTGCGGCTGCGTATGAAGTGAGCTCCAGCCACGTGAAGCCACGAACGCCCCGATCTGCGCACCCGAACATCCCGAACACAACCTAGCCCCAGCTTCTGAGCTCCGGCTCCGGCTCCGGCTCCGGCTCCAGCTCCAGCTTCAGCTCCTGAGTCCAGCTCCAGCTCCGGCTCCAGCTCCAGCCCCACCTCCCGGGCTCCCGCTCCAGCTCTTGAGCTCCGGCTCCGACTCTGGCTCCAGCTCTCAAACTCCGGGTCATCCCGCCCGACCGCCGTCACTTGACCATGGGGGCTATGCGAGTCGCACACAACCGACGACGGGTCGGCTGTCACACCCGGCGCAGGCCTCCACCCACGCATTCCTTCTGCGTGTCTTCTCAGGATGTCTTCAACAATGGCACTTCGTGTCGTCACCGACTTGTGACGCATTCCTCGGTATTTTGGCGTGTACCGAGACAAGCGACCAATCCCGCCGCGCTGGGGCGCCCCATCTTGTGGATTCAGGACCGCGGTTGGTCCCCATGTACTAAAACGTTCATGAGTCGCCGCTGGCCGTCTGGCCCGACCCTAGCTCCCCCTCAGGCTGGCCCAGGCGTCTCACGGACCGGGGTCACCCGGAACTGGCGGCTGGCCACGCGCGCCGGGCTGCCCGCCGTCTGGTCACAGCGCGCCGGCGGGCTGCGACTGTGAGCCGCGTCCCACGGGCCGGTCCAGTCCTGGCTCGGCCCGTCGGGCGGCCTGTGTGTGAGCTCTGCCGGCGGCGGCGGCAGACCGCGCGCTAGCGGCGGCGTGCCGGGCGGGCCGGCCGGTGTCACGCGGAACACGCGGAACCGCGAGCCGCCCGGCGTCGGACTCGGCAGCGGACTGGCCGACGGCGACGGGCCGGGGCTCACCAGCCGGCGCGGCCGTCGCTCCTGGCCGTCCGACACCGGCGCCGGCGGCGGCGGCGGCGGCGGCAGCGCGGCCGGCACCGGCGTCTCGCAGGTGAGCGAGACGCGCCGGAGCGCGGCCGAGAGGCGACGGCGGAGCCAGTCGGCCGGCCCGGACGGCGGGTCCTCCGCCGGCGCCGGTTCCGGCTCCGGCTCCGTCTCCTCTGGCGCCGGCCGACGCCGGTTAACCTCGCATAAAGCGGCAATCGAGTTCAACAGAGAGCTGACCTCCGCGTCTACCTCCGGACCGGCTGCCGTCCAGTCCGCCACGAGTTCACTCGCAGACCAGTCCGAGCTATGCAGGCTGGAAGAGTCGAGCGAGTTGGCCATATCGGCAGAGCCCAGACTGCAGCCGCCACTGGCCAGACCGCTGGCGTCCAGGCAGTCTCCACTGGCGGCGTCGCTCGAGTCCATGGAGAGCGCCGTGTCCTGCGAGGTTCGGCTGCCGCCGTCTCCGGGCTCGCGTGGCGAGTCGATGCCCGAGTCGGCCCGCTCAGGCGAGCTGTCGGCGCCGCTGGACGCCGACCCATGCCGCGACGCCGCCGCCTCGCCGTCCGGCCAGCCGTCGCTGTCCAGGTCCAGTTGGCCGAGGCTGGTGCTGGCCCGCAGGCCCGCCGCCAGCGCGCGCAGCCCGTCCAGGCCCAGCCGATTGCCGCGTAGGTCCAGTCGACGCAGCGGCGCGCCAGCGGCCAGCGCGCGGCCCAGCTCGGCGGCGGCGCCGGCGCCGAGGCGGCAGCGCTGCAGACCGAGCCGGCGCAGCGGACTGCCGCGTCGCAGCGGCCCGCTCCACAGCGGCGCCGCCTCGTCGCCCAGCGCGTTCTGACCCAGGTTGAGCGTCTCCAGCGTCGGGTGACGGTGGAGGAGCACGGCGAGAGGCTCCGCCGCGGCCGCCGTCAGCCGGTTGTTCCACAGGTTGAGCGCGAGCAGACCGGTTAGCGGCGCCGCCGGCTGCTGCTCGGCCACGCCCGACAGCAGGTAGCCGGCGGCGTCGTCGTCCAGCTGGTTGTTGCGCAGGTCGAGCAGCTGCAGGGCGGGGTTGTGCCGCAGCGCGCCGCCCAGCAGCGAGCCGTCGGCGGCGCCCAGCCCGTTGTCGGCCAGGTACAGCTGGCGCAGGGCGGCGCAGTGGCGCAGGCCGGCGGCCAGCAGCGCCAGCGGCCGGCCGTGCAACGCGCACCGCTCCAGGTGCAGCACGCGCAGCCCGCCGGTGCGCAGACTGCGGCCGAGCGCGGCGGCCGCCGGCTCGTCCGGTGCCGTGCGCTCCAGCGAGAGCCACTGCAGCGAGCAGGAGACACCGGCGGCGCGCACCAGCCGAGCCACCGCCTGCCAGCCGAACCGGTCGGGCAGCGCGCCGGCCACGCTCAGCCACAGCGCCGAGTCGTAGTGTTCCAGCAGCTGCAGCAGTGCGGCCGTCTCCTCGGCGCGCAGGCCGCAGTCGGCGGCGTCCAGGCGGCGCCACTGCCGCCGCCGCAGCACCGCCTCCAGGCTGTCCACGTCGGCCAGACGTAGCGGCGCGCCGGTCAGGCGCAGCACGTCGGCGGCCGGCTGCGCCAGCTGCTCCAGCACCGCCGGCAGCGGCGCGGCGCCGTGCTGGCGGCAGGCGGTCAGGTAGGCGGCGACCGAGTCCGAGCTGCCCAGCAGCAGGAGCGGGTCGGTGGCCGGGATGAGAGCCGTGACGGGCGTCACCGGGAAGGAGACGCACCGCGGCCCGAGCGGCGGCGCCTGCGAGCCGCGCCGCGGCAGGCACGGCGCGCCGCCGCCGCCGCTCGCCGAGTCCGAGCGGCGCCGGCCCGGCCGCGGCCGCCGCAGACACGAGCGCGGCGGCTGGGGCGGCGCGGCGGCCAGCGGCAGCCCCGTCTCCGGCTTGCCGTCCGCGCTGTGTCCCAGACCATTAACGTCACTGGCGACAGGACTGGTCGCCCGCTGCGCCGGCTGGGTGGCCGCCGGTGCGGCCGGCACACGGTCTAGTTCCGCCACCAGCCGCTGGTCGGCGGCGACGCCACTGTCGCCCGCCGTCAGCCACTGGCCGGCCGTGGCGCCACCGTCGTCCGGCGCCGATCCGCCCTCCGACTGGACGAGTGCCTCCGCCGACGCCCGGCCACCGGCGGCGGAGAAGGCCGGCTCGCTCGGCACCTCCAGCCGACAGTTCATCATAGCCAGCTCACTTCAGGTCGACTCAGGTCAGGTCCGGTCAGGTCAGGTCAGGTCAGCAGGCGGTCAGCTGGAGCTGAAACGTGCACGCCGTGTCAGCGCTCCGGTCGGGTCATGGAGCTGGCAGGCCGCGACTGAAAGCTCAGAGTGTGGAAACATGCGGGCGCTGGCTCGCGTCTGGACAATGTATGACCTCTGTCGAACAGCCTGCGTGCTGTAATGAGCAATCAGGTCAGGTTTGGTTACTCGCTGGCTGCTCCTGAAACCAAGGCGTCCGGTCGGTCGTACCCTGGGTTCAACGCACACAGCTGGAGTTCTATCACTTCTCCAGTCGCTACTCATAGGCCGTCGCTCGTCGGCGGTATATTTGGGGCACCGAGAATGTGTGGGTACCAAGCCCGCCATCAGTCGTGGTTTCCGCGCCACAATCGGCATGGGAGACTGCGACGCCGCTCACCATGACGGCTACACCAGCGAAAGCACACACAAAGCACCCCTCTGGCCTCCATCCCGTGAAACTACGCTCCATCCCACCAGGTCACCAGACGGCCTGACTTCGAGCGGTCACACAGGCGCCGCCGGTGGCCGCACCGGGCCGCCGTCGTCGGTCCGTTCGCGGGGCGGGCCGGCCTCCACCAGCTGCCGGCGTGTGACCTTAGCTTCGGCCGGCGCCGGCGCACGCCGCCGTCAAAACAGCCGCGCCGGCCGGGCGTCGGCGCCCATTGTGTATCGCCATCTAATCCCGCCGCGCACGTGAGAGCGCGCGTTGGCGCGCGCAAACAAGTTCGCACACGCGCTGAACCGGACATTATTGGCGGCGAAAACAATGGAAAGATCCCGGGGCTTACGTGAAAGTGGCAGAACCTCTGGCTGGTCTTGTCTGTCTGTCGGGGGTTTAGACCATACAGATGCGTCAGAACCTCATTCTTTGCATTAAGTTGCGAAAACAAAGTGACAACGAACACCTACAGCTGCCTTTAATACCCAGCAACCAGCGCACCTCTGCCCTGCTCTCGAAATACGCCCGCACGGCGGGGGCACCAGGTGAGCACCACAAACACATCTCTTTAAAGTCGGCGCCTATCTTGTTACCACTAAGGGAGGAGGCATTCACAACAATACTTCGGGAACGGGTTGTTGTCAGCCAGCCAACACCGTCACCCACTCATCTCATCATCTCAGCAGTTTTAATATTTTCTGGGTGCAAGTGTTGTGCCGCCTTGTCTTGGGCCGTCCACGGCAACCCCTGTAAATGGGGTATAACACGAAGGCATTTTTGAGCGTATTTGGGGGTAGGTTAACTTTTCCTACTCGGCCCTCTTTTTCAGTCACACCCGTAAGCTCGCTGACTAGTTGTTCCTGCTCAGCCTCCAACTCCTTTTTTCAAGACTGCACCCCTCCCTACGGCTCTGCACAAAATAAGGCGGTAAAAAAGACGTCTGACGCCCTTGTATCAAACAATCTGTAGTCAGAAGGCCGGTGGAACGCAGCAGCTGTAGCGCATAACATGGGACGCCTAAATTGAAACGCTCTGCCCACAACTGGATAGGAAGTTAACTTATTGTTGTGTGTAAGTCGAAGCCCAGCCACCGCAGTGCCGAGGCCCGTGACGGCCGGGGGTCCCTCATTGTCGCGAGATCGCCTGACGTCAGACATTGACGCCACCACCATCCGCCCAGCCACGAGGCGAGATCGACGCCGGCTTGCAGCAGCAAGGATCGCGCAGAGAACAGACGGCCGCGGTCGTACACAGGGAACCCGGGCAGCACCGCGCCCGGGGCGCTGGTGAAGGGGCCGGCAGCCGCCAAGCCGCCCGCCGTCTGCTGGCAGAAACTCCGGAGCAGCAGCCGGGCGCCGCCACGGGAACCGGTCAGCATCGGACGGCCCTCGTGTGCTGACAAACTCGGGCGCCGCGCGAGCTCTGGCTAACTCTGTGGCCGCACGGACGCTGGCTAACTCGGGCACCGGCCGTTCAGACGCTGGCTAACTCGGGATGCGCAGACGCTGGCTAACTCGGGATGCGCAGACGCTGGCTAACTCGGGCGCCGCGCGGACGCTGGTTGACTCGGGCGTCGCGTCGACGCTGGTTAATTGGCAAGCTCGGGCGCCGCGCGGACGCTGGTTGACTCTGGCGCCGCACGGACGCTGGTTGACTCAGGCGCCGCGCGGACGCTGGTTGACTCGGGCGTCGCGCCGACGCTGGTTCACTTCGGCTCACTCCTCAACTGATGAAATGTCCACAACCGCAACCCTCCTGGCACTATGCTGTTGAGTGCGGACGGTCGTTTCACAATAAGCAAAATTGGGAATTGACCAGAGAGTTGATGATGTTTCGTGACCTATTTTCCGGGTTGCTGGGAGAATGCAGCCTTGATTACACACACGCACGCACGCACGCACGCACGCACGCAAGCACGCACGCACGCACGCGTGCACACACACACACACACACACACACACACACACACACACACACACACACACACACACACACACACACACACACACACACACACACACACACACACACACACACACACACACACACATGCTCTGGCCGAGTTTCAGGTCCGGTCGGAGATGTCAGCGGGGTGTCGTGATGGGCTCTCACCGTGGCCAGAGCAGTGGCCCACCGTGGCCGGGAGGATCGTATGTTTAGCAGTTCTATGCCGTATCGTTTAGGCACGCATGTGCTATACTGGAGAGCGCACATCCCAAATACTGGTGTATCTGTGTTTGTGTGAAGCCCGACGGCGCATGGCCTCGTGCTGCCGTCTGTTTCGCTGGTGCTGGGCGATGAGGGCGGTGATGTGATCAGCTATCGGCTGGGCCGCGGGGCTGCTCCGGCCGGCCCGGGCCGCCAGCCGGAGCAGCCCCGCCCCCGCTCCAACACTTGACACGGCCTGCTGTAACCTCGTCACTAATTACCAATTGCGCGGCTTTTCGGGACATTCATAATTATCACAATAACGGATTTGATGAGCGGTGGCGCAACTTTAATAAGCTGTGCCACGCTTCCGGCTGACGTTAAGGCCTAATTAGACTGTTTTATTATAGGGCTGAAACTGGTATAATCTCTCATGGGCTAACGGTGTAATGCATTTGAATTCTCTGGGAATCGGGTTCAAGAAAAGGTTCCAAAAGCGGCAGATGGCGATCGCCTATAAAAGACACACAACTGTCTTCTTCAGTTCGTTGATTGGAAAGAAGCAATCGAGCCCACACGAGACATGCGGGTGATATTTGCCAGAAAAAGACGTCGCCGACGGAGGAATATCGTACTTAGCTCGTTAATAAGTTTCATGACCAAAACCAACTCATTGTCGCTTAGTTCATAGAATGTCTACTATTCTGTAGTGTCCTTTTCAGCTAAGGTGCTATTCAGGGTAATGAAAAAAGTTTACACAAGCATGCTCACAGATGGGTGAAAGTGCACAAAATAGCCTTGAGATATTGACATACTTTCGCTAACATCCACCCAAAAGTCGCGGATGTATCGAGATAATCGCGCGGCTTATAATCCAAGGGAATGTGCCAGAAGATGAGGAGGATATCGGTAATGCTACGAAACCCACAGCAAAACGGGCGAAGAAGTAATCCAAGTAAGAGCTTCCTGCATGCGGAGATCACAAATCAGACCCGATCATTGTGTGGTCGTTCCGCGTGGCGGTCGTCTAGGCTTCTCAACAAATTTAGTGGGATCCGGGTGGTAGTCGCGTAGTGGCCCCGGGGCACGCGCCCCCCCCCCCCTCCCCCCATCTCAGAGGTACGTAGATCTGTGCGACGGGTCCATACACCGCCGCCAGATATTTCACCGTGCTACATTGACCAGCCGGTGCCCCACTCCATCCCCCGGAGAGCAATCCCTTATCACTGTTTGATATGCACTGATAGGTCCTTGAATAGATGCAGACAAAAAATCAGGAAAGACATGTAAAACTGATCGGAACGAAAACATGCAAGCACGCTGCAGTCATGCACGAAATTCCGTGCTTCTGCGGCGCGCTGAACTGGGTTTTCAATGACATTTTTGACATAACTAACATATTTGACATCAATTTGACAATGACATTTTTGAGTTGTGACCTCCCTTCCCCGCACACGAAGTCCTGCACACAGCCCCGGGCGAGAGCGGTGCCTGGCCGGGTGGGCTGGGGCGTGCTTCTCACCGGAGGCTGGGGGGACGGGCGGGGTCAGCGGCCGGTCACCGGGCCGCCTGCTCGCGGGCCGCCTGGCGGCTGCGCAGCTCGTCCATGGCCGCCGACTCCTCCCAGGGCCGCGGGCCGCGCTTGTTCTCCCACGAGTCAATGTCCGCCTGCCATCACAGGGCGCCGTCAGCCGTCCAGGTTCAGAGTCATAGGGCGCTGTCAGCCGTCCAGAGTCAGTGTCACAGGACGCTGCCACCCATCCAGAGTCAGTCACATGATACCGTCACCCGTATAGAGTCGGTGTTCCAGGAAACTATCACTCATTCTGAGTCAGAGTCACAGGGCGCTCCAGAGTCGGTGTCACAGGGCGCCGTCACCCGTCTAGAGTCAGAGCCACAGGGCGCCGTCACCCGTCCAGTCAGTGTCAACTCCAGGGAAGACAGCGGTCAATGTGCGCCGGCCGACATCGCTACAAGTTTTAACGACTGACGGTCCCAAATACACGCCGTGATCCACTCGGACCACAATCGACACGTGACACACAGGTGGCCGGTCACACGCGTCAAACGCTAACTCCGGATGTGACATCGATATCCTTTCGCTTTCCACACATCCGCAACGTGTCACTGCCATACGGAAGATAGAAGCGCCGGCCAACACTAAATGCAAACAGGTCAAGCGCATTCAGCGTGGCTTCCTGCCCCGACGAGCCGGCGTACCTGCTGCACCTCCTGGTACTGCTGGTCCAGCCGAACCTCCTGGCGGCTCTTCATGCGAATTCCGAGCTTCTCGGCCTCGGCCGGCTCTATTGGCCTCTGCCGCCGGTACGTGTACCTGTGGCACGGGCCCGCACGCCGCCGTCAGCCGTCTGCTGCACTGGACTGGCCAGCCGGCGCGCCGCATACGCTGACGGCCGCTACTGCGATTCATGCGCCGCGAGGCCCAGGTGGGAAATGCGACGACATGCACGTGACTGTACATTAGTTTCGTTGTTTTCCCAAACCACAGCACAAACAAAATTACATGTAGTATCAGGCGGTCTCCCCCTAGCGATTGTTTGGCAAATATCGGTGGAATTTTAGGGCACGGCGACGTTAGAGATAATCTTCCACCAATAACCAGGAGTTCAGAAGTGCGACCTTTTCTAACTAAAAAAGAGAGCAGTGGCTGAAAACTTGACGTTTGCAAGTAATGAAAACAACTAACCCCAGCTCAACAGCAGTCCGATCAGCAAGATACAAGCGAATGGACGGCGTGAAAGCGTGGACATCTGTTCAACCAAGCTGGCCTCCTAAGTAATCGGGCCTCCTATTTTGCACATCGCTCGTTTGCCGACGCCTGGAGCCGTGACGACAGTGCGAATACATGTCCCGCGATGCGCTCGTCCAAATGCGGGCATCAAGGCTCCGGCGGGTGCACGTCTATGCATGTGTGTATGGGGGGGGGGGGGGGGAGGTGATGTGCACGTGGTTTCGAGCCACCCCAGCTCTCAGATCAGCGAGGGGCCCGACGGCGCCGCTGGCGTTTGCAAGCGGGCGCGCGAACGGCAAACACAGCCATAAAACCTGCGGCCGACCTTGAGGCACGGCGATGCAACGAACTCAGGAGAGCGCGACGAGATGGCGTCCGCGGCCTCCCGAGGCCTGGCCACGAGGCCCGGCTTACTCGCGGGAGTGGGCGGCCTTTACGACACGTTTATCGCCCTAGTCACATGCGGTGATGACGCATGCCATAATTTGCGAGCTGCGAAGGCGTACTTTTCGAGGCGAACTCAGCAGCGGCGCGCTGGGCACTCGCCGGGCAGAGAATGCTTCGAAAATCCACGGGGTGGCATGCATGCACCGGTGCGCGACCGTGAACAGTCTATGGACAGTCCGGAGTTTTCATGAAACGACCGAGGCGGATCCTGAGCAGCGGTGCAGGGGACTGTAACACTCCCACTCACTTAACCAGCACAGCTCAACAGCATCCCTATGGCTTCGCACCACCCCTGTGTAAACGCAACGCAAAAATTCCGCTTGTCCCGCCTGTTAACTCTAAGTGGATCCCTCTTTAAAGAAGGCTGCATGGACATCACCATCAAAACATCATATTAGGGTCTGTTCCCACCAATCTTCTTAAGCCATTGCTGGCCGTTGCAACAACGCTCTTCACACAGCGACAGTTCAAGCCCGACAAATCAACTGGGTCACAAGCACTGGCCGGGCGGGCTCGCCGGGCCGTGCCTGTGGGACCGGGCACCTGGTGCACCGGACCGCTGTGAACACCAGCCTTGTCTGAGGTCCGCAGCAGCACTGCACCCGCCGGCGGTCTCAGCGCTTACCGGCAGCATACACGACAAGCGTCCCATGCTAGTGGCCAGTCCGGCGCGAATCGACTCGGCCGCGCCGGTCGACGGCCAGACCTCCGCTCCGGCTGCCTCGAGCCAACCGAGAGCGCGGCTCCGCGGCGGGGCGGGGCGGGAGCGCGCATTGCATCGGCTCCTCGTGCCGCGGCAACTCGTACGCAGCTGCGTGCGGGCCACAGGTGCACCGGTCCGAGAAACGCAGCCGTGGCGCCCGGCGCGTGTGGGGCGTGCCCCCCCCCCCCCCCCCCGTCGCCCAGCCGACCAGCCGAGTCGGGGGCGGCCACGTGCTGGTGTAGGGCGCGCCGGCCCTCCGTCGCACGGCCGACCCTGTGCCGAGCCGGGGCCGGCCACATGCTGGTGTGGGACGCGCCAGCCCCCGCTGCCCCACCGACCCTGTGCCGAGCCGGGGGCGGCCACGTGCTGGTGTGGGACGCGCCAGCCCCCGCTGCCCGACCGACCCTGTGCCGAGCCGGGGGCGGCCACGTGCTGGTGTGGGACGCGCCAGCCCCCGCTGCCCGAACGACCCCGTGCCGAGCCGGGGGTGGCCACGTGCCGACGAGGGCAGCGCTGGGAGCTGTGCGGAACCATCAGTCAGGTGACGGAGCCCGCCGCAGTCCGGCTCAGCCCCGCGGGACGCCCACCACGGACCATTACCCAGCGTTCCGACACCCAGCTGGTGTGAGGACTTTCCGGCCGTTCGGGTCGATGGTGGCCGGGGCGCCGGCCTCCGCGCGCATCGAGAAGCACGCGCGGAGGTTTGAACCCCACTCCTCGACAGGTGACTGAAACCTCCACCAAGCCCCCTCGGTGTCACGACGTTGCATGGCCGTTGAAAATATCCAGTAACACTTCAGTTAGTTGTAAGGTTAGACCAAATGATGCCATGGTTCGGGCAGTTTATCTAGAGGGGGTTAGAGAGTGTTCACGCAACAAGCTACAGTTACCGAGGCCTTCGATCTCAAAAGTCACTCCATCAGATGATTCATGCAACCGAACTCGAAAGGAAGTTTGAAAAAATTACGTATGGGATAAATGGGGATTTGAATATATCGTTTTTCGGCTAGTGTGCATAACATTCTCTAAGGATGCCCCAAGGCAAGGCACCGGCTGGCACAGTTCACCCAAATGCGACTGACTGGGTGACTGGGGGTTCATAATGATCCCGTTACTTCGGACATGGTTTTCGGATGGGGGAGCTCCGAGTAGCAATACATGCCCCTTGTCATTTTCCCCGAAAACATCGTCCTCAAACACATGGCAGATGACGTCGCAAGTCACGCGATACGTTATCATAAATTCAACAATAGCCAAACTTGGGGTTCCGAAGCACATGTCATGTCATTCGGCACTGGCGGAGGTTGTCAACGGCCCCTGACATTTTTTCTTCAAAGTGCTGCAAACCCACTTGCCCCTACCTGATGAAATCTGCGGCACGTTATGACACACTAGAGCACAACGTCACCTGACATTTTCCCGACATGCGAGGTGACTGAACGGCGGACTTTTCTGGGACAAGTTGCACCAAAGTGTGGTGACATGTAGTCCTTTTTCGTAATGCATTTCGGCCTGGTTATTTCTTATACAAGTTATCTTTCTCTCCCAATGACAGCAACGTGACCTTCTCTGGTTACATAAGCCAATGGCCTGAGCTTACCTTGAGTTCCGGCGGTTGCTTTTGTATGCTTTAGACGCACGACTGGCCGACATGCGTTTAGCCAAGTGCCATGCTGTAACCTGCCTTGAGCCAATATATCATCGTAGCCAGTGACCTACCTTGCCCGCTATCTTTCTATCTTCGTTCCACACGCTATCTATGCATGACTCGTTTCAAGTGAAAGTAACAGTGTAAGTCTTACATGATTGCGGCATGTTACGTTAAAATGTCACCACGGTTCCATTTCACAATGACAAAATTCAACATTATTGGCTTAATGCAGTTCTTTTGTCCCAGTGGTTTCAACGTTCAAAAACTTGAGCACTGCGATCGGTTTGCGTGCAGGTCGCGTGCAGCCAAACCATAGATAACGTGTCACGTTCACCTTGACGTCAGGCGCAAAGATGACCACAGCGGGTCTCGTTCAATATCGCAATGGCTTTCTAATCACCCATGCTTCATTCGTCCTCCAGTGCTATGCGGTACCGGGACTGCAGCGGTGGGGCCTGTTGGCACCTGTCGGGCCCGTTGAAGCGGAGCGCCGTCGGCGCGAGCGTCGGGGGGGGGGGGGGGGCGCTCCGCAGGGCTACCCGCCCGTCGGTTCAGAGGTGGCGCAATCCCCGGCATCACGAGGGTAAGCGAGTGTTGAATCCGCGCCGACTCCGTGTCGGCGCACCATAAGCCTGCTGATATGACGCGTGTTATGCTTGCACAACTCAAGATCAAGGTCAAAGCAGGTTGGCTCAAGTTGCATGCCTGTGTACTTTTCCCGCATAATACCCACTGAATTCTTCCCGGGGCACCTTTCGAGGCATATGGTCTACCACGAACTTACCTCACCTGCGCGGAAGCCGCTAGCTCAAAATGCGTTCCGCCTAGGGGTTGACTGATCATAAAAGGACGGCGAATCATTCTGGATCAGTGTTTGATGTTGTCAACAAGACGATTGATGCTTCTACAGTGATAGAAGCGTCAATCATTGACGCCTTGACCCATGAGTGCCTTCCACATCGACGCCATCATTTCGTGAGCTGAAGAAGCATGGAAGAACTTTCCATCGTTAAAAACATGCGCGTTACAAATTAGAAAGCACCATGGGCTTCAGTTTGCCTGCGTCAACCACAAGCACGCGTACACGTGCCTCTGCTGTCTATCGGTGCAACAGCTGGCTGATTCTGCCGGAACCCGGTGGTGTGTTTTACCCAGGGAGCAGACCTCATACTGGGCAGAAACATCTGTCTGATATGATTTACAGCCGTTGCAGGCCTTGTCTGGGCCATCTCAAACGCCGCACAGCACCGCAGTTTACTTTCAATGCAATCATGCCGTTGATTCACTACAGACCGAGCAGCATGCACGGGACCTCTTCGACTAGGCAGGAGCAAGCTCCACATTAGTGCACTTGAGCAAACTGTTGTTCAGAACAATCGGAATATGACTTCGCCCGGTCGTATATTCCGACCGGCAATGTTTGCAATCATCTATGTCGACACAGCAACAGCCAGGGTATTGCTGGCGTGAGATGCAGCCGTACGGACGCCCCCTCCCCCATGGCCGCCGCAGCTGGACAGAGCGTGACGCGCCGTCGCCGAAATGGCGTGACGCGATCGCGTGAGCACGACACACACACACCAACTGCGTCGCTGCCATCGGGTGCGAGGATAAGCGAAACGGTTGCAAGCCCGCTCGGACCGAGCGATTTTTGCCCAGCAAAGCGCTTTGCTTTCCTGATTGTCCGTAAAAACCTGAAGGAAAGTGGTCGACGCCAAGGAAAACAGGCTCATCCGGACCCTTTTGTACGAGGAGGCTAAAAAGTATGCAGATAAGTGAATA